CCAACTCGTATTATATCGTCCTTGTCTAGAAAAGGACACAATGAACTAATATTACTTATTTTATTAACAGGTGAATTATTTTTCAACTGCATGTATTCTACTTCGAAGTCGACTCTTTGACATTTCCTTATACAACACTTTAATGCTTCATCTAGATCTGACCGTTTTTATATTTGGGTATATCTCTACCCTTGACATAATGATAAAAGAAACTTCTACATAACGCTACTATTCTTAATAATTTTCTTAACGAACTATATCTTTCCCATTGTAAGGTGTCGTGTTTTAAAGCTATACAGGACTTAATATTCTCTTCCATGTTAATATCTGTATTCAATAGTCTATTGTACTCTATATTTTCATTATATAAAAATTGTGGTCCGTGAAACCATATAGTATTTTCAGGTAATAGTGACGGTAAAACTCCTCTTGACGCACAATCTGCGGGATTCTCCTTCGTAGAAACATGTGCCCATTGATCTGCGTCTAACGTGGTTAAGATCTCCGCGACCCTATTACTAACAAAGGTTTTCCATCGGCTTGGGTGGCTATTCAGCCATGCCAACACGACTGTAGAGTCAGTCCAAGCGTGCACCTTGTCCTTGTCAATATTCATAGCCCTCGCCACATCGATCAACAACCGTGCCAAAAGTACTGCTGCGCATAGTTCTAGACGAGGGATACTAACTGTTCTTATAGGGGCGACCTTTGTTTTCGCCATTAGAAGAGTGACTTGTATATTTCCTGAAGAGTCTACACAACGAGTATACACAACTGCTGCGTAAGCAGCCTTTGACGCATCGCTGAAGCCATGTAACTCTATGACTGAACTATTTGATGTTCCTAACCATCTCGGAACATAGACTTTGGATAGATTTTCCAAGTCTTTACGGTAAGTTATCCATTCTTCTTTTAATTTTTCGGTACATGATCATCCCATCCTACTCCTGCTAGCCACAATTTCTGTATCAATATTTTAGCTAGTATTATACTGGGTGCTATCCAGCCTAAAGGGTCAAATAAGCGTGCGATATCCGATATAATAATACGTTTAGTTAATGTTTCAGATGCTGGTGGGAGCTGCACCGTGTACTTGAACTGATCTGCACTACGACACCAGGTAAGTCCTAATATTTTTGTACTATCGCTTAATATTTCCTTTTCGTCCTTCCTTTCATATGACTCGATTTCCCCTAATAATTCCGAACTGTTGCTGTTCCATTTTTGTAGTTCAAATCCTGCTTTTGCTAATAATGCTTTCATTTCAAAATACAAATTTTTACCTTCTTCTATTGTGGAACATCCTGTCATTAAATCATCCATATAAAAGCTTGTTGGCACTATTTCAGATGCCGTGGGAAATTCTTGCACATAGTCCAATGCGACCTGGTGCAATGTCTTGACCGCCAAATAAGGAGCTGAAGCTGTACCAAAGGTTACAGTTAATAGCTCATACTCTTGCATTTCTTCATGTGGCTCTTTTCGCCAAACTATTCTCTGATATTTTACATCGTTTTCTGCTACTCTCACTTGTCGGTACATTTTTATTATGTCTGCAGTAATTGCTATTTGGTGAACTCTCCAGCGAAGGACGATATGCCGCAAATCCGACTGCAAGGTAGGTCCCACCATCAACGTGTCATTAAGTGACACTCCCCTTTCATTCTTGCAGGATGCGTCGAACACTACGCGTACCTTCGTTGTGGATTTATCTTCTCTGACAACTGCGTGATGAGGTAAGTAAGCTGCTTCATTGAACTTTGTGTCTGGTTTCTGTACTTTTCTCATGTGATTCAAATGTAAATATTCTTCTATAACTTTCGTGTATCTTTCTTTCAGGTTTGAATCCTTCGTGAATTTTCTCTCCAATGCCTTGAGTCTTCTTACAGCTATTTCTTTACTGTTACCACCTCCGCAGGTGGGCGTTGCTTCCTTAAATGGTAACTTGACTACGTATCGACCGTCTGCGCATCTTGTAGTCGTAGCTTTATATAACTCTTCACATTTTAACTCTTGTTCTGTTAACGTAATACTTTGTGGCAACTGATCTTCGATCTCCCAGAACTTCTTCAGAATATCGTTTTGGTCCATTGCTGTATGCATGACTGTGATATTTGCGATGTTACTCGACCTAGTTTCTGTTTCACCAGAAATTATCCAACCTAGCGTGGTACACTGCGCTACTATTGATCCATTAGGCGCTCTCCTTAACCATCTTTTAGTATCTTACCATACACGTCTGCACCCAATAAAATATCTATCCTATTAGGTGAAGAAAACTGTGGGTCTGCCAACGTAAGTTGCTTTAATTCCGACCAATCAAGAGGGGCTACTTGTCGTTCCGGTATATATGATGTAATATTTTTTAAAACATACGTGTTTACCATTATTGTAAAACTAGGATCAGCTAACGATTTTAATGTCAATGTTACAACTGAATTCGCGGGTGACTTGACACTACCTAGACCAGAAACAATGCTTCTAACTGGAGTTCTCTTTAATCGTAAAAATTGTGCTGTACTTTCCGTGATAAAGGAAGCCTGGGACCCCTGGTCTAACAAGGCCCGAACTGTCTGAAATTCTGCTGTGGCAGTTTGAACTTGAACTAACGCAGTAGCTAACAATACCTGTTTAGGACTGACGATGTGTTTAGTCGATAGACATGACACAACTGGACTGTTATCAGTGGAAGTATTATAAGAGGAGCTAGCAGCTGTTTGCTTATCTTCCTTAGCGTTATGTTCATAATTAGCGTGTAAGAGAGTGTGGTGTTTCTTGCCGCAAATATGACATACCGCTGTTTTCTTACATTGATAAACTAAATGGTTTCCGCCTAAACAGTTAAAACAAATTTTATTTGACTTTGCAAAAGATCTTCGTTCATCTACATTAATTTTTGTAAACGGTACACAAAAGCATAACTTATGGTTGTTGCCGCAAAATTCACAACTAATCTTAAATTGGCCAGATGGTCCAGGATTAACGTTCCGAGCGAGCAAAGTTTTCTGACCTGATAATCTTTCTGTACGTGGACCAGCTCGCCACTGACCCGATGGTCGCTGTGGTTCAATGAACTCAAGTGCTCTAAACCGACTCTCCAGATATATTTTAAACTGTTCTAGAGTTGGAAGTTCAACTGTTGATTCGTCGGAAGCCTTCAACTCCCACTGCTTACGGGTCTCTGGGTCCAACTTTTCAGAGACTACGTGAATTACAATAATTTCCACAATGGTGGTCATGCTAATCCCTAGGTTAGAGAATGCACTCATACAGTCTGTGGTTGTATCCAGTATTTGTTTAATATTAACCGCAGATTCAGTATTTACTCGTTTTTGGTTGAATAGCCGTTGCAGAATGGAATTCGCCAAGTGTCGCTTATTGTTATACCGATGCTCCAATTGCTTCCAACATACTGAGTAATTCGCAGCAGTAATTGGTATTTGACGAAGCAACTGCTCTGCTTCACCGGTCAAACATCCCTTCAAATAATGTAACCTCTGTACGTCATCTAAACCTTTATTGGAATGAACTAGCGAAATAAAAAGATCACTAAAACTAGTCCATTCATCGTATTTGCCCGAAAATGAAGGAACATTAATTTTTTGTAACCTAACGTTCGAAGCAGAATAGGTTCGTGTACAAGGTTTTTTATGTTAAACTGTAAATTACTGTCTTTTAACTCTGACTTGTACGTTAAATAAATTTCCTCGTCTTATCATACAATTCGGATGTAAAATAATTGTTTTTCAAATCTGTTACGGTGGGTTTTTCAATTATTTTCCGATGTGTATCATAAAATCTAGACCATTGCTGCTCTAGATTTTCCAATCTAGTTTCTACATATCCACGAGTTACTCGTTCTTTGGGAGATTTTTTGAAATTACTTCTCCCCTTTTCAATACTACTTTTTACATCATCTTGTAGTTTAAATAAAGATTCCATGGCAATGACTTAGAAAACAATTCAATAAAGCCAACAACGTATTCGAACAATCTGTTCTAACAACTAACAAAGTGAACTTACAAAATATGTTGCATTGCATACGAACATAACAAGTTATTGCAGACTATCAAATAAAAATATTCTATTAATAAAATGTAAATTGCCCAGTTACTTAACTAAAATTATTCTAATTCTTCCGTCTGATGACCTTCTTGAACTATGTTTATAAATTATGTATAATTGTACTCACAACACTTTACTGAACTTAGACCTCGTACTGATGCTCCTCCACTCGAACTCTCCCTGATCCACTTCTCGAACTCTCCCGGCTCCACCACTCGAATTCTCCCGGCTCCACCACTCGAACTCTCCCGGCTCCACCACTCGAACTCGTCTCGTCACTCCAACTCGAACTTCGCCGCAACCTCCGCTCCGGTGTGCTCGTACTGGGTGTTGAACCCGGTGCCACAACTCACCAGCACCTTGGCGCCATCAGCAGTGATCCACTACTGTGTTGGCACGGCACCCTCTCGGCAACCACTCAGTGTGACTACGTCACATCCGACTCACAAGGACCAATCGTCCCTTAGCTAACAACACCGCTCAAGTCGAAAATTGGCGGTTTTTACATTTTAATGCCATTGGATGAAGCTGCGCATTGCGCGTCGAACTATTGGTCTCATGAAACGGATTTCAGCCAATCAAAAGCCGTTATTCAAAAAATAGTGACAGCGCTCAAGTCAGTTGGCGTCGCAACACCGCACAAGTCGTTAGTCTGTCATACTTTTCTCGCGAAAATATTTCGCGCTCCGTGATTATTCAATTTATATGTGAATTTTATAGCTGAAACGTCTATGCAAGAAGTTTAAATAGAAGATTAAGAGGTAAGCTATAGAATAAAGTAATGTTTATTAATTTACGCGTATTAATTTAGAAATAAATGATAAAAAATATCTTTACTTACTTAGGCGGTGTTTACTAAATATTTTTTCTTAACTTAGGCGGTGTTTCAAAATGTATTTTATTTCTTTTAGGATACTCAATAATTGTAATACGCTATGGATGGAGAAGAAATAGATTCCTGGAATGATCTTAGTTCAGTGATGAATGGTTATTTGGCCAATTACAAGAATCAGGACTGATGTCAAGGCATATTAAACGGAGTAAAAAAGTAGCAAAGAAGATAAAAAAAAAATTAAACTAGGTTAGTATTATGGGTTTGTTATGAGGTCCGCGTTTATTTTTTGTTATTTATGTTTTTAATGCAATAATTCCTATTATTTATTTCAGATTTGAATAAAAAAAATAACATTAATTCTTCTGACACTAAAGCATGCAATTCTACTAATAAATATGAAACTATTGCAACACCAATAAATGATCAAAGCTTCGGGGAGTCTATAAAAAGTATTACAAGTAGCCAGGATAATGTAAACACAATATTTGACCAGAACATAGACTTGGATAATATTGAAAACATTGACATTCACAATCTACAAGTTGTAGAAAAAGTTGGTAATGACTTCTTTGATCTGCAACATATACCACCCGAATTTGCTACAGTGACCATCGAGTATCCTCAGCCTTCTGCATTGAATGTAGCCAATATCTCGGTAGAATGTGAGAACGTTATACAAGAACTAGGAAATATTGACATTGAAGCTTTAACTACGAATACTCAAGACCCAGTTTCGGATAGAGTAATTAACACAGATGAAAATAAAACAATCCAAAACAATATACAGCAATCCAGCGACTCTGCTACTCCATCATGTTCTTCAAAAGTGGTCATACTCAGTAATGTTGCTTATCACGGTGATTTGTTAAGCCATAAAAAACGACAGAACAAGGCGACAAAAGATCCAAATAAATATAAACGCAATATAAATAAAGAATTACGGATGAAGGGTGAAAATTATTTAGGTTACAGAAGAGACAGAAAAGCAAAGATTAATGAAACATTTAAAGTGAAACAAGACGTATTTAAGCCTGCAAGATCCATAAAACCACCATGCACTTCTGCGTTTTGCAAGAAATCCAAACTCAGGTCATGTGACAACATAAACGAGCAACAGCGTAAATATTTATTTGAAAATTTCTGGAAGAACATGAACTGGGAGCAGCGAAGATCATTTATAACTTCTCACGTTAATAAAGTACCGAAGAAAGTTACAAAAAATCCAGAATCATCCAAGAGAACTGATAGTCGAACTTACGTTTTGACGATTGATAATGTTCGTCACCAAGTCTGCAAAAAAATGTTCTTGGCCACTCTTGGAATTAAAGATTGGTTTATAAGATATTGGTTGACAAAAACCGATTGTGCTATGCCTCCCGATGTGTCTACTTCAACCAGTAATCGTAGAAATCCAGGGAAAATTGAAGACCACAAACATGTTGAAAAGTTTTTAGCAGATCTTCCAAAGATGCCGTCGCATTACTGTCGTGCTAAAACATCACGAGAATATTTAGAACCAATTTTCTCGAACATGACACAGCTCTATCACGCATATAAAGATAATTGTGAATTAGAGGGTAGAGAATGCCTTGGCCGTAAATTATTTGACAAATTATTTTTGAAACTCAATCTTTGCCTATTCCACCCAAAGAAAGATCAATGCGACGTTTGTTGCAGTCATAAAACCGGAAACATTACTGATGAAGAATACTCTCAACATGTTCTGAAGAAAGATCGAGCCAGGAAAGAGAAGGATACTGACAAAGGAATTGCACAGTCCGGAGCCTGTCACGTGTTCACACAGGATGTGGAATCGGTTAAATTAGCCCCGTATCTTCAAGCTAGTGCAATTTATTATAAAACTAAATTATGCGTCCATAATTTTACATTATACAATATAGCAACTAAGGAAGTAATGTGTTATTGGTTTGATGAGTCAAATAGTACGCTTGAAGCCTCTGTTTTTGCTTCATGCTTAGTAGACCATCTACAGAAGGTTTTGAGTATAAAATTATTGCCTGTGGTTTTATATTCCGATGGTTGTTGTGCTCAAAATCGCAATGTTACCTTAAGCAATGCTTTATTACGTTTAGCGATTGAAAAAAAAAAAAAAAAAAATATTTTGATTACTCAAAAGTACCTGGAAAAAGGCCATACTCACATGGAATGTGATTCGGTACATAGTGCCATAGAGTGTAAATTAAAAGGTAAAGAAATTTACCTTCCACATCAATACATGGCTATAAGTAAAACTGCTAGGAGTGATCCTATGCCCTACGAAGCTCGTTATTTAGACTATAGTTTTTTTACAGACTTTTCGAAAGAATTAATTTATAAATCTATAAGACCTGGTAAAAAAGCAGGTGACCCTGTCGTCACAGATTTACGTATGCTAGAATACAGACCAAATGGCACAATTTGGTATAAAGTTAGTTTTGATGACGATCTTCACCCGTTACCACATCGCCCCACGCCAATTAACAGCATTAAACAAATAAATAGCTTGCAGAAATTGTACGCAGCTAGAATACCAATTACAAAGCGGAAGTATCAGGATTTGCAAGACCTAAAAAGTGTATTGCCATCTAATTGCCATTCTTTTTATGATGACCTTCCACACAGCAATCACTAAAGACTGCAACTAAACTAAAGACTAAATAATTTTGAGTATTTTTTATTATTTGTATTATAATTATGTTATTTCTTTGGAGTTTATTAAACTCAGATTAATATTTAAAATATTTACCTATTAATATAAAAAAAATATTATTTCATTTACGTTCCAACTAGAGGTTTCTGTATTACTAAATAACTTTAAGCAATTGATCTCAACAATGTGATTCCTAAGATTTAAGATAAGATACCTTTTAAAGATAAGATAAAGAGTGTTAATTTTCTTGAAATATTTTTTAATTAAAGTTTTTATTTGCAAATCATCTTTTAATACCTTAATCCCTAACATTTTCACAAACAACACCGCCTAAATCTAATAAAATATCAGTCAACACCGCTCAAGTCATAAAATAAAAGTTAAAATAAAGTAAATCGTTAAAATAAGTATAAATAATTATTTCTTAACCGCTAACTAGAGTATGTACTAAGTAGCAATAGAAAAAAAACACAGATTATTTAAATTAGACAGTTTTTTTCGTCTCCTGTAAAGTTGGTAAAAATGACTTAAGCGGTGTTGTAAGCTAAGGGACGCAATGTATAATTTGGTCTAAAATAACAAAAACTATAAATCTACGATCGCAAAGAATACTTTCAAACACCAAACGCACTATATGTACTAACATTATTTTTCAGTCCTTTGTTCTTCAGGAATCACGTCCAGAAAATCTCCCATATAACTATAACTTGGTGGTAGGGCTCTGAGCAGGTATCTTAACTTTTCAGGTTCATCAATTTTACCTCCGGCTGTTTTGAATTCGTTTATGGATTTTTCAAAATCAACGAATAAATCCTCTACAGTCAAATCGGGTAACTTTGGACCACTTTTTGTATGTTTTCAATCACTGCTTTTAGGATTCTATTATTTCGGTTAAAAGAATAGTTTGCTCTGTGATCTGGATAGTCTGTGGTTAACGCATCGATAATAAAAATTAAAAAAGAGTGGAGAACTCTATGATAATCGCTGATTTGTAGATGGTCCAAAGTTACATTGAGTTTGGGGTAACTTTGAGCCACCATAAATATTGTTGTGAAAATTCGTGTTTTATACAAATTTTAGAGCATAGGGCAACATTGAGCCATGTTTAAGTGAACAACAATGATTTTTTTCTCTTGGTAAACAATAAATTGTCAAATAAAAATAAAACCAATGCCCCCAAAAGTCATCAACACGTTAAAGGCATATGGATTAAAGGATCAAGATTGAAGATATAAAATGCTTTTTATGTTCTTTTTTTAAATAAAACTTTACTGTTTAAATGGTACAAAAAATATTATTTCTTCAGCTTTCGATACATATATAACTGTGCTATGCTTAAAACTAAATAGAAGGTAATGACTAATACAGAGATCAAATAATGGACAAGCTTCTTTGACTTTTGTCCTAGTCTTACTGCAGTCTTTATGACATGAATACACTTTCACATTAGGATAAGTATGTATACTTATTAAAAAAATCAAATTATATTTGGAACACAAAAAGAACACTTCACTTCCTTACATCTAGTCTCCCCACTCCATAGACAAGAAGTCATCATCAATGTAAATGATTTTGCCCCTTTTAGAAATTTGTCATCTCGCAGCACTTTAATAATCATTGAAAGGTCGGTGATTGTAGTTAGGTCTGGTTTATCTGGCCAGATCCATCCTCCGTCCAAGTTTTTAGTTAGACAACTGACACACAACATAGAAGTTTCACTTATTTTTCTTATTTGTCCAGGGAACAAAGTACCTTCATCCTTAAACACACAAAATTTGTTTACCTCAAACACTTCTTCTTGTTCATTTATCTGCACAAGTTTTCCTCCATCTGAATGTACCAAAAAATCACCTGTGATATTTTCAAAACCAACCAAATGTGCTACTGCCTCTTCTGGTTCTTTAGTGGGGCCATTCAATTGATACTCAAGTTGATCATTAGATATTGTTATTATTTCCACGTCTTCATCTACTAAAGATACAGGTAAAGCATTTTTTGCTGGTATGTCATTTTTCTTCCTTTTTGGTGAATTTTTGTTTTGTGTCTTGTTCGTCTCACAAGCCTTCCTTTTGTTTGTTTTCATATCTTCCTCTTGCAATATTTCTATTTGGTCTAAATTATCAAATGAGTCCCAATATTTTTCAATGAAGTTTTCGGTGTTTTATCTGGTGTTCTAAAAGCCCCCTCTTGTGGAGCAGTATGTATGCTTGCCACCACTGTAGAAATAATTGGAAAATCTTCCGTGTCTGATTCAGGGCTAGCAGCCCGTGTGTCTTCTAGTCCAATATGTAGGACATTTATTGTATTACAATAATTTTCTTTGTCCATGTCATCATTACTTACAATAGTTTCTGGCACAGCAACATTGGTTTTAGAATTATTATTGCACATTAAATCTGTATCAGATTGGCTTTTATCATCAATATTCATGTTTTTGGGACTAATGGATCTGCAGCTGTATTATTTTCCTGTCCTATTGTTTTTTTTTCCCTTTAACAGTTTTAGAACCAACTGGTCTGCCTCTCTTTACAGGATTTTCTTTCTTCTTGTTCTGCCCATCAATGTTATTTTTGTAAAATGTTTCAACTTCTTCTGCCGAGACTGCCTTTCCTGCTTCAACAGGTAACTGAAACTTTCTACATGACTTGATATTTAGGTCTGACTCTCTGATATCTTTTAAATATTCCTTAAAAGTCTCACCTACAGATGTTTGAACGTCAGTAGCTGCGTACCCAGGTAAGATTTGAAGTACTTCTCTTCGTGACACTGGATATATTCCACATTTGCGGAATCCGGCAATCAGATTTAATCCTGCAGTTGATTCACATTGGTCCAAGGTGAGTTTTAGCAACTGAGAAAAAATATTCTTTGGTAAACTAATAGCTTTCCTACCTCTTTGGGTTAGCCGCCACGTCCTCAACACTGACCTCCAGGCTGTTTTTAAAGAGGAAAAGAACCCTACATCCAAGGGTTGTAAAAGATGAGTGGAGTTGGGGATGAGACATATAAACTTTATGTTATGTTCCTCACAAAGTTTCAGTGCCTTTACACTTATATGTGCGCTAAGATTATCACAAAGTAGAATTTTATTCCCTGGTTTTTTATCCACTATTGGAATAAAATGTTTTTCTAACCACTCATCAAAGATATCAGAGTCAATCCAACCTGATTTTGACACAGTCATTTTGGAAGACTTAGGAGCATTTTGTAACCAGTCAGACCAGCAATTTTTGCCTTTAAATATAAAGAATGGCGGAATAAATTCTCCTACTGCATTTCCACAAAAAATGTCGATTAGCACGGCGGAATAACAGTTTTTGTTTCCCTGGATCGTCATGAAAGCCGGATTCATCCATATTGTAGATGTTTTCTGGAGGTACTCCATCAGCTTCAAGTGTTAATAGATCAAAAAACTTATTGACCATCTCTTCATTAACCTGTGCTCTTTTTCGGGAAATATTGTGAGCGATTTTCTCCTTGAGAGCTGGATGTCTCTCTAGATACAGTTTTCCCCACTCATAACCTGGAGTATTGTCAGTGAACACCGGTACAACTTTATTGATCAAAGTCAAAGTCAAAGTCAAAGCATTTATTTCAATTAAACCATAGTTTGGTGCTTTTGAAACGTCAACAAATACAAAATAAATAATAGTCTGTCAGTCAGTCCGTCAGTGAAACTAGGTGAAGCTAGGTGCTCATTCCAAAAAGTAGATTCGAATGGAGAAGAACGAGCAAGAAACTCCATTCGTTACTCTTTTTAAAAAAAGTATGTTCTACAATGTCTCTGATACATATTTCAATACTGTACGCATATGTAAGAACAATGCAAAGACACGCTTGACGCATTATACTAATAACTTACAAAAATTAAAAAAAAAAAATTAATAAAAATTAACTTAAAGTCCAACATGGTGCTCACATATGCATACTGACAATCCATAGAATTCGTGCTTCTATACAAGAAAAGGAAACTCTTTGTTTCAATAAAGAAATGCTCGATGCCATAAGGAAACTAGATTGTCTACATTAGAATTAAAGTGTTAAATTATGTATTAAAATACCTACTATTGGAATTTAGCTACTGACTACATTTGAGTATTGTCCAGTGGAGCCGAACCAACATGCTGCCAAGCATTCTTATCTTCAAGATAATCTGTCAGTGTGTAGTAGGCTTGATTACATAATTCGCGCTTAATATATGTTTTAAATTTACTTTCACTGAGATCTATTATGCTATTTGGTATTTTATTATAGCATATAATACCTAACCCCATAAAGGATTTCTGTACTTTGGACAGTCTGAATTGCGGTATAGCTAACTTATTTTTGCCTCTAGTATTAAAATTGTGTCTATCGCTTCTTTTTTCAAACAATTGCCTATTTTTCCTTACATACATATATTTTCATATATATATTGACAGGCACCGTTAAAATATTTATCGTTTTAAAAATTCTCTCAGCGATTCGCAACGGCGTAAGTTATATATTGCTCGGATAGCCTCTTTTGAAGAATAAATATTGATTCTATTTCTGCAGCTCGACCCCACAACAAAATGCCGTACGACATAATGCTGTGGAAATAACTAAAATAGACAAGCCTAGCTGTATCTACGTCCGTGAGCTGTCTAATCTGTCTAACTGCAAAAGCAGCTGAGCTCAATCTCCCCGAAAGCGCCTTTATATGCGGACCCCATTGTAGCCTATTGTCTAACGTAATGCCTAAAAATACTGTCTCGTCGACAAATTCTAACTTTTGACCGTTCAAAACAATATCACTATCGTTTGGTAAACTGAATTTAATACATTTTGTTTTTCTCATTAAGTGCTAGATTATTAATGGTGAACCAATTATGCACTTGAAGAATGGAGCTGTTTACGTCTTCAAGATTATTTGTACGTCGATCTATTTTAAAAATTAATGATGTATCATCTGCAAAAAGCACCATTCGTGGTTCATTTTAAATATAAATGGCAAATCATTTATATAGACTAAAAAGAGAAAGGGACCCAATATTGAACCTTGAGGAACGCCCATATTCATCCCAGAGCCCTGCGAGTTAATACCGTTAACATGAACCTTAACTGTCTCTCTTCTAAATAAGATCTCATAAGACGGAGCGCAGAGTTTCTTATCCCGTAGTGATCTAATTTCAGCAAAAGTGTCTCGTGGTCAACGCAATCAAATGCTTTTGAGAGGTCACAAAAGACACCAATAGCATCCTGTGCTTCCTCCCAAGCACCAAATATTTCCTTAATCAAAGTGACACCGGCGTCAGTTGTACAACGACCTTTAGTGAAACCGTATTGTTGTTGGTGAAAGATGGAATGTTTATTAAAATGATGAAGCATCCGAGACAGCATCAACTTTTCAAAGACTTTGCTGAGAACCGGCAAAACAGACACTGCCTATAGTTGTTAGGTTCTTTAGTGTCACCACTTTTAAATAGTGGGATAACCTTACTATATTTCATTAGGTCAGGGAAAACACCGTCATCTATACATTTATTGAAAATCACAGCCAGATATGGCGCTACAGTTTGGATAAGTGACTTGCAAACTATTACCGATAAGCCCCAAAGATCCTCCGTAGAT